CTTTCTTTCTTCTTCTTTCTTTCTTTCTTTCTTTCTTTCTTTTTTTTCTTTCTTCTTTCTTTCTCTTTCTTTCTTTCTTTCTTTCTTTCTTTCTTTCTTTCTTTCTTTCTTTCTTTCTCTTTCTTTCCTTCCTTCTTATCCTTTCTTTCTTTCTTTCCTTCCTTCCTGTTCTTTTTCTCCCCCCTTTTTTCTTTTTCTTTCTTTCTCCTTCCTTCCTTCCTTCCTTCCTTCCTTCCTTCCTTCCTTCCTTCCTTCCTTCCTTCCTTCCTTTCTCTTTCTTTCCCTCCCTCCCTCCCTTCTTTCTCACTCTCTTTCTCCCTCCCTCACCCCCTCCCTCTTTCTTGCAAACGACTGAAACCCCAGATTAAAGTTTTGTCCTTTTTTTCTGCCTCTCCCCTAGAAGTTTCAATCCATCTGCCCCAAGCGAACCAGCCACGGATGCAACCAAACTCACCTGACCACAGGTGGAGACCATCGAAGCCAAAAGAATAAAGGTCATCCCCAACGCCGTTGCCGCCCCAGCCTTCTCCACCCCCTGGGTAGGGGCTATAGCCTTCGGCCATGGCCCAGCCGACCCGCAAATGCGTGGCCTGGGCGGTCACAAAAGGCTCCACCACGTCCACAATCATCTCATAATACCACTTCTTGTACTGGGTGGTTCCTTCGTGGGTGCCCAGAAAGATGTTGGGGCGCATGCTGCAAAGGGAAGAGAAGACAGGGAGAAGGAAGGATCAGTACGGAAAAATCAAGAACACAGGGAAGAAGAATCCTGGCCTTAGCCAAAAAGCGAAGCAGGATTCTTGTCATTTATTTTATTCATTACCTTTCCTAGGATGCCCCTCTCCCCTACAAGGTGACCCTGGGTGCTTACATAGCATAAAAGCAGGTGAAAAATAATTCCATCAATCAATCAGAATAGAGTTGGAAGGGACCTTGGAGGTCTTCTAGTCCAGTCCCCTCCTCAAGCACGAGACCCTATACCAGGAATCGGCAACCTGCAGCTCTGGAGCCGCATGTGGCTCTTTCATCCCTCTGATGCGGCTCCCTGTCACTCAAAATATGTGTCACAACTGCCAATGTGCGACACCTGCCGGCACGTGATTTATTGAGCTTTTCAACGCCCCCCAATAGGTTTTGTGGCTCCTAATGTTTTTTCTTTTCTGTGGGAAACGGAACCAAATGGCTCTTTGAATGTTTAAGGTTGCCAACCTCTGCCCTAAACCGTATCAGACAAGTGGCTGTCTAGTCTCTTTTTAAAAACCTCCAGTGATGGAGCACCCACCACTTCTGGTGGCAAGCAAATGAAAAGGTGAAAAAGCAAACCGACATTAAAGCGACATTATTTAAAAAAAAAAAACTGTGTTCAAACCACGCCTGCAAGAGCCGAGAGACGGATGGGACAGGAATGAAATCATCTTCTCCTAGGATCAAATTAGATCCAATCAGCAGGTGAATGGGAGGACAGTGGAAAACCTCCTGGTATTGTAGGCTTGTAGGATGGGGATTTATTTCACTGGGGGGGAAACAATCCCAAAGCACCTTTGGGACAACCATGACCATGGATGACTGAGAAATCTCTACAGACTTCACCCACCCTTCTGGTCTTCCATTAAGGATCTTAAGATCTGGCTTTGCTGGTTGGCCTGGGGTCTGGAGGGCGGGTGGGGGTGCCATCCTGGAGGTGGTTACTAGATTAAATGCAAGGGTCCTCCTCAATTCCAATGTGTATCCCCCCCCCCCATCGATCCTCTTTGACGCCAGCTAAACCCCGGAAGACCCACTGCAGAGGGACATCAAAGAGGGCCAAGCGGCTACCTGGTGACATGATTGATAAGCTTCGTTTGCAACAGAAGATCTCTCCCCGGCAGCAAGTTTTCGGTGATCAGGTTTTGATTGGAGCGGACGGCCACGCCATTGCAGACACACAGAGAGCAGAGAACATCCAGCACCTGCCAAAGGAAGAAGGGAAGAGCCACCGTTGTGTTGTGTTGTATGGGTTGTGTTGGAATGGATTGTGCAGGGGTAGGTTGGGTCAGATGGGTTGGGTTGCATGGGTTTGGATCGGTTGGATTGGGTTACGTTGGGATGGGTTGGGTTGGATGGGTTGGGATGAATTGGATGGGTTTGGATAGGTTGGGTTGGGTTACACTGGGATGGGTTGTGTTGGGTTGGATGGGTTGGGATGGGTTGTGTTGGGATAAGTTGGGTTGGATGGGTTGAGTTGGGTTGGGTTGGATGGGTTGGGATAGGTTGGGTTGGGTTACACTGGGATGGGTTGTGTTGTGTTGGATGGATTGGGATGGGTTGTGTTGGGATAAGTTGGGTTGGATGGGTTGAGTTGGGTTGGGTTGGATGGGTTGGGATAGGTTGGGTTCAGTTGGGATGGGTTGGGTTGGAATAGATTGGAATGAGTTGGGTTGGGATAGATTGGGGTGGAGTGAGTTGGGATGGGTTGGAGTGAGATCAGTTGGGTTGGGTTGCGTTGGGAAGGGATGGGATGCTGGCTCAGGGATTCTGGAAGTCCACAGGTCTTCAAGCTTCCCCCACCTGTATTCAGCCCCTTCTAAAGAGGGCATTGCTTGCCACAAAATGTAGGTACACCAGAAGAAAACCACAAGCCAGGTCAAGCTCACCACAACTCACCTTGTGGTTGCGTCCATGTTTGTCCAGGAGGGAGATGATGGATTTGATGTGGTTTTCCTGGATGATATTCAGCACTTCTGGACTTTCAATGAGGACACAATACAATACCTCCAAAATGCCTGAAGAATGAGGTTAAGGAGTCTGTTTTCACACTTTGCTTGGCAACAATCCCCTGCCGTTTTCCTAGTTAATTAAGATTAATTAAGTTCTTCTTTTCATGGCGAGAATGCATGGCTTAAAATGGCTGCCAACGGCATTCTGCGAATCCAGAAAAAAATCACGAACACAGGTCATCCTCGGTTTACGACCGCAACAGAGTTCAAAACTTCCATTGCTAAGCAAAACAGCCATGCGGTGAGTGGTGCCCCATTTTACGATTTTGTTTGCTACCGTTGTTAAGTGAATCACTGCCGTTGTTAAGTTAGGAACACGGCTGTTAAGTGAAATCCCAACAATCGGGGTCCTCATTTGACCGACCTCGGAAGGACGGAAGGCTGAGTCCAACTTTGAGCCAGTCAGGATCGAACTGCTGGCAGTTGGCAGAGCTAGCCTGCAATCCTGCATTCTCACCACTGCGCCACCCATGGCTCTTGAATTGGAACCAAACTTGCAACGCCCCCCTCTGCTCACCAGAGGATGCCTCCAATCGGTCCAGTTTGCTGACCAGCCAGTCCAGATTGTTGGAAAACAGGGCGCAGTTGGAACGGTTCCCACGGATCAGCGAGGCTGCATGGCAGGAAGGCAAGATGGGGGTTAGGCCCTCCTCAGTTCATCTTCACAACGACGTTAAGTCATTTGTCTGTCATTTAGCTTATTCCCCGAGGTACCGGCATAGCATTTCTCCATCTTGGCAACTTGGCAGTGCATGGACTTCCAACTCCCAGAATTCCC